ATGTAGGAGAGTAAAAAAAAAGATGAAAGAGCTGATATCGTTCAGCATGCATTAAGATTAATTTTAATATTTTGCCATCTCTTGTGAATTCTGGCATCAGTGTTAAATTGTGCCGCATATCGTGATAACTCTTGTGGATATTGATGTCTGTTTTGCTCTTTTTTTGTTCTCCCATCCATGGACGGGAGATAAAAGATATGCTAAGAGCGAATGAGGTAATATTAAGATTTCTTTTTTTTTTTTTTGAAAAAGGCAGAAGAAAAAAAAATAAACATCAAAGAACATTTTTCATTTATTGTCAAGTGCAAAATGTAATTGGATTATGTACTGCGAAGTAAGCATTTCAAACACATCGAATAGAAAAACCACCTCAAAATCTATGTTATGAGTGTGTGCTGATGCGAAGTAAGTATCATGCGTTCTTTATGGCCTTCATTGTTCAGCTTGTGTTCCATGTTGTTGTTTCTCATCTTTTTTTGTTGTTACTTCATCCCGGTAGAAATTGCATACGCGTGTATTTTTAATCTAAGTAAGTCGCTTGGATTAAAAAGACTTCAAGTAAATAGAAATACGATTCCTTTATATTCCCACGGATCTGATGAAAAACATCAACAAAATGAAGCAATGGGTTCATTCGAAAATCGCTGATCATTTCCCATTTTCCATCTCATTAAAAAAAAACTCCATTTTCCATCTTTTACGATCTCAAAATGCAGAAAAGTAGGAAATATCATAAATAGAACAAAACTATTGTGAACTGTTTTTTTTTTCATAAATTTATTGAAATATTTGCTTCTTAAGTCGATATTTCACTTACACAGACATGCATTCGAAGTGTTTTTTTCAAGTTCATTGAATCTTAAAGAATACCTTGAATAGTAGACAATGCCACCTTTTGCTTGCGACTGCATAAAGTTCCACGGTTTTCTATAGGAGTGGCGGCAATACCCGAAACCATTACTTTTATACCGCTGTTCGTAATAATCTTACAATCTCTAGTGTGACAAATGAATGTCGTAAAAATGACAAAAACAAATCTTTTCTCGCTCTTTGTTCGTCTTAGAATCATACGACGTATTAATAGTGAGATTTTGAGACATTGAATATGCATCTTTTTCATCGGCTTCAAATTTTTTCCGTCTAATTCATACCATTGCAAAAACGCATATATGCACTTAGTCCATGAGCATTGAATATATAACTCAATAAAAAGTGTACTTGCATTTTTGGCAAATGCCGTAATTTGCTGTATGCTTTTCCGACACGAGACCGATTTATTGTTCCTTTTGTGCGTTCCCGTATTACACATATGTATATGTCCATGTGTGTGTGTGAGTAAGTCTTGGAGTGAGTATGTTGAAAATTAAATTTATTATGAAACTATGCACATTTTCAGTTAAAGTGCATTTCTTTAACTCGAGTAAAATTTTAGAACATGAGCATTTTACACCATATACACTTTCCAGACGCCGTAAAATACGGTCAAATAAATGAAAAACGCCAAACGAAACGGCGAGGCAAAAGCGAAATGGAAGTCTTTGGAAAACAAGAAAGAATGTGTGAATAGAGCTGAAGCTGAGAGTTTAATGTGCTTTTCTTTCGAATCAGAGCTTCATAATGGTTCTTATTTCGGGTGTTTTTTTTTTCTGGAATTGTTTTGCTTTTCTATTTTCAACATCGTGTTTTTTTTCTGTGTTTCGTTCGTAAAATTTAATGTTAACGATGAATATGGTTCACATGAACTATGGAGCTGGTGAGTTTAATGCCTTTTATTCACGGACTTATGTTGTATCGAATTTTTCTTTTTCATACGCCAAAGAAGAATACGTAGAAAAAAAAAAACAAAAATTGCTGAGAATTGGCAGAAAATGAAGCATAAGCTCTATTTCATTGTTTTTGTATATTCGGCAAGGTGGTTTTCACCTTTCAACGAGCGTTTCTCAAAGCACTGAAAAATGACTTCCAACCGCAACTAATAATAAGTGTTTTGAATACAAAACGCCATTATCAAAGCGACTAATGAAAACATCACCCATAAATGTAACAAATACAATGCAGAAATAAACTCAATTCTGAACACACATTGTGATTATGTGTTCGAGTAATAAACAGCTAAGCATATACAGCAGTTTTAAGAGCCCAAACTGCACGAAAAGAGCACATAAATATTTGAACGAAAAACACACAAACATGATCATGGAACATGCAGAAGCTTGCACACATTTGCACGTTTTTCAAATAGAAAGAGAGCGAGAGGGATCGAGAAGGCGATGTAAGGTGTGCCTGAATCAACCGAGTCCCACAGCACCAAAGTAACAAACGAGCTGAAAAGGAAGAGCGAACAAAAAAAAATACACGCTCACATAAACATCCACCACAAATGAGAAATGAAAAATCATCAACAAATAATATATTCACATGCATTTCCATGTCGGAAGTTAAAACATACGAGTGAAAGTATTCGACGTAAACTGCATGTATTGTGTATATACTTTGTTGGTTATTGTTTATTGACTGCAGAGGCATTAAATTTAATTGATATTCTTGTATATTGTATAAATTTAGCCATAAAAGCCATTTTAAGTCGTTTATGTGTATGTGCTTCCCCATGCGGTTATTAGGATGAATAACTTCAAGCCAGGCAACGGTTTCAAACTGCATTTAAATCATCTGATTATGGGAAATGAAACAAAATATTATACCCACAGTCGAATTATTTAGAAAATATGGTTATTGGCAGCTTTCTGTTTCACATTCAATACCGATGGCCACGTTCATAAGTAAGAAACTTACTCAAATAAACGATTTTACGTAGGCTTTGCCAACATAAATATATGCATTTTCATCAATTTACTCAATTGATACTTAGTATACAAACGGATTTTATTCGAATGAATTTTGGTGTATAAAGAAAAAAGAGAAAATTCAAACAGGCATTCATTTTGGATTTTAGACAATTTTTTTTTTTTGCTTGTTATATATTTGCTATTATGGTTATACAAATGAAGTAAATGGTTGCTTTTATCCTTAGTAATTTGAAGCCTACTATTTAGGAGGAGTTTTTAGAATAAATTATGTATTTTACCAAAAGTCAAATGACAACAATTTCCAAAATGGTGCACATAAAATCCGATTAGAAATCGCTAACTAATAAACTTTTTTGAAAGAAATATAGCTTTTTACTAATAAATTGTGCATATTTATAATAGAATTATTGAACAGTCTCAAAAATTTATTGAATACTAAGTTTTCTACGCCAACTTTTTGGCAATACAACAATGTCGCCATTGGAATGTGGCATGAGATGCAATAAAATATGAGAAAGTTCCTTCTGACTAAAAACTTATTTAAGTGGAAATTATATCTACACAATATAGATGTTATTGTTTAAATAATATTCAATATGAAGAACGTTCTCCAATGAAGATGCGATGCGTTTACAGTTTTGAATAGATTCGACTTAATAACTTCTTCAAATTTATTACAACAGATTTAATTTGTAAAGTGGTTTGACATACATTCAAAAAGGTGATTTCTTCAAATTTAGTTTTTATACAATGTTATTATTCCCCTGAGGTGGAAGAATGGTTGGGAGAGGGAGAGCACTAAGGAGGTCCCTCCTTCTCAATTGAGTAGGAAAAGCTTTTTTCTTCAAAAATCAATGCTCTTCCTTCATCCTTACCATTCCTCCCCCTCAGAGAAATAGTACCTGATTTCTCTAAGCTTTTTTACTTTATCGTCCGTTTTTTTTATTCGTTTTATTCATGAACGGTAGAAAATACGTCATTTTTGATTTATGTATGCGTCATAAGTCATTCAAATGCATTTGCTAAAATTAATTACGCATGCAATTGAATGAACTCAATTCGTATACAACAGAAATAGTAAGGATTCAAATAGATCACGTGTTGACAATATAATTTAATCCATTGCACAATTACAATATGCAGCACATGCTTTTAATAGCCAAAACGCTTCAAATTCAGCATTGTTTGTACGTGGAAAGAATAAACGGTTTATGTTCAACTATTCAGAAGGTTCTTAAAATCATTTAACAACTTTTTGTCGAGTCAGCAAAAGCCAATTTTTAACAAGCACATAACATATATGTAAATGTATGAGACAACAGCAACTTCAACCACTTCAAATTATTGTCGAAAACATTCATTTAAAGAAAAAAGAATTTGTTTCGAGTTTTCGACGCGCGTCGAGTGTTGACAGATAAATAAATTTAAACAACATGATTTCGTGATAAAGGTTGTTAGTTATGGACCAACTAAAGAGATAAACCATTCGAAGTGGTTGAGTAGCCCTTACTTAAAATGAACTAAATATAGTCAGATAAATGAACTTAAATCTTCAAAATAAATGTGTTTTTATGTCACTACTTTTAATGATGAACATAACATTCACATCTTTGTTAGTTTATTTTTAAAGTTCATGATTACCACATCGTACATTGAATGCACTTTTATAATCATATTATAAATTCTAAATGGAATTTGATTTAGCTTAATCTTATAAAAAGCAAAAGTAACTTTCGTAATCCAAAAATCTTCTTCTATAAAATGGACATTTTCGACTGAAAAGATTATGTTTATGGGAAAATTATGGAGTTCGTAGTACTGTTTCAAACTTGTTTGAATTTTTTTGTTTCTTCCAGGGATTGTTCCCCTGAGGAGGAGGAATGGTGAGGAGGAAAATGAGGAGGAGGAGGAGAGCGAGGAGGATCCTCCTCCTCAACTGAGGAGGAGAAAGTTTTTTTGCTCAAAGGGCTATTTTTATCACAAAAATATCATTTTTGGCTAAAAACATTTTCCTCCTCAGTTGAGGAGGAGGATCCTCCTCGCTCTCCTCCTCCTCCTCATTTTCCTCCTCACCATTCCTCCTCCTCAGAGGAACAATCCCTGGTTTCTTCCAAGTTAAAGTGAAATGTAATTTTAAATAGAATAAATGGTGAAAACGATTGTTTTAAAATGCAAGAAATTTCTTTCGATCGATTTTTGTAGAACTTTACTAGCCACAATGTTTTGAGCTCTTAATCTCATGTGGAGTTGTTATTTTGATTTTCAATTAGACACAATCGGGAACGTTATCCAATAAAATAAAATACGGTAAAACATCAATTGGTGCCGGATATTTCCTCAACCAGATCGGACCTTGGTAAACTTTGTATTGATTTGGATCGAACCAGTTACCTTTCGGCAAGTATACATCACGGACATTTTTACCTTTACTTATTACTGGCGCGGACAAAATTCGTGTTCCCAGCAAAAATTCTGTGATCGAACGAACATTGTAATTAGAATCACTTTTGAAATTTCAAAGTTAAAACTTACCATCGCTAATAGTCAAGGCAATTTTATCGTTTGGATCTAACCACCAAAGAGGTGGATTTACTGGTTCCCCGCATTTGACTGCATTATGAAATGCTTTCATAATTTCGTCGCTATAATCGGCATGTAATTTGGTAAATTTTCTACTGATTTCAATTGATTTATTTGAATAGTCCCATGGTACATATGAAAATTGTAAACTTGGCATAAAAACATTTGCTTGTAGCCAGCGGATATACAACTCTTCAGATGGTGCTCCATGATAACCATTTCCGCCAACCATATCTGGGAGGACGAAGCCATATCCCACTAAATTCATTTGAAGTAATGTTGTAATTAAAGACGGAAGACCGTTTTCGTATGTCCACCTAGATTCTTTATCAGTCATGCGAACAAAAATCGGTAGGTCTTGTGTTCCTTGGCCTGTTCTTACTTCGATAAATGGACCAAACGGACTGACAGCTCGAACATATGATTTCGTTATTGCAAGTGGATCATCAACGAAATCTGCATTCATTTTGGGATCCTACAAAAGGGTTTGAAATTACTTCGTGTCTAAAATCAGAAAAAAAAGTTATCAAAATAAATTACAGATGGTGCCCAATCCCTTTCACCCGCATCAAATTTAAAACTATCAATGCCAGCCTCTTGCTGAAGAGTTTTTAATCGATTTTGATACCACCTAACAGCTTCTGGATTTGTGAAATCAATATGCCCGGCCTTTGTATTATTTCTAGTGTTCCACCACGTAGTATCTGGATTATCTTTATAGTTCACCACATAATATCTTTAGAAAAATTAATTTCATTTTTTTTTTAATTGGAAAAAGCAATATCAATAATTTATTACTTGTTATTTCTTGCTTCTGAATACCATGGTTCACAATTTTTGTTGATGAATGGATGAACCCATAGAGTAACCCGAAAACCTTGTTCTCTTAAATTATCAGTTAAACGTCGAATATATGGAAATCTTGTCCGATTGAATGTAAGAGATCCGTAACAAATTTCCCAGTCGTCATCGATTTCCAATTGACTATTATTGAATTTGAACAGTTTGATTTCCGAGGCAAACGTTTTAATTGTATCTTCAGAAATATTCCGTTTGTATCTTGCCCATGTCGACCAAATTGGAAATTCAACCATTCTGACATCGGGGACTGCAGATGGCTTCTTCAAAAATAATTCGACCGCTTTTCTTTGTGCTTGTTTGGCATCTTTGCCAAAACCCAAATTGTATTTAAAATGTATAAGTTCTCTTCGTGTGTTGTAGGGCAATTCATTTTTGGCCATGAAACAAAGTGTTTTTCCGTTCACATTTTGATCGACGAACAATGGCACTCTGTCATCAATATAAATGAAACCGCCATCTGAATTCAACCAGTAGCGTTCGGCCACGCCGACATAGTTTCTCTGTGGCACATACGCTAAATTCTTTAATCGTAGCTTTTCTATCGGATAATATTGGCGATACTGCTCAGGACCACCGAACCAATTAACACCAGTCAATAGATCAACACAATGGCTGTCGTTTTGATTCTTTTGCAAAACACTTGATACATTGACCAATGTAAAATCATCACTATTTTCAACTACTTTAAATACAACATTTTGATTTAATCCGTATAAAATAAAACCATCGTCGCTATCAGTTTTTGAAATATTTCCTACAAAATTATCACCTAAACGAACGTGCTGAATGATGCGATTGAATTTTTGAACGGTATAAAATGTGTTTGCCGCGATATTTTCTATTGTAATGATGAAATCTTTTGAGCTATACGCAACGATAGAGTTCTTTTTTAATGAACATACGGTAGTAGTGCACAGCACAATAAAAAACAACAATACAAATTTTCTCATTGTTACTACAATAGACACTGAACACTCTTTGGCATGAATAACTTTTATATATATATTAAAGCGATATTGAGTTGTTGAAATAATTCCATTTTTACACGAACAAAAAACAAATCTAAATAAATCTGGTTTCAATACAAATTGTATTAAATAAATAATTATTCAATTGGTATGAAATTAGGATAGAAAGAAGAATTTATAAGGTCAATTTAAAATTAGAATAAGAATAAGACCACAAACAGACTTTAAATTTTAGTGATTAAATTTGGTAAAATGGTTTTGGTGTATAAGAATGGGAAATTGGTTGACAAAAATGGGGAAATTGACCCCCCCAAAACTAGGGAATTGGCTGTCAAAAATGGTGCGTTTGGTTCTGACAAATAGGAAAATTTGGCTGTCAAAACTGTATCAAAAATTGATTGTATTTTTGAGTGTTTAAGTCTACATTAGGTATGACTTTTGGACGAAAATTGGACTCTTTTTCATGCCTGGAGTGATATCTATGAAAAAGAGTCCAATTTTCGTCCAAAAGTCATACTTAATGTAATCTTTGCAAAGTCGCTCAAAAGCTAATGATTTCTATTCCTCGCGATCCCCACGTAAATTCAGATTTTAAATAACTTTTCTGGGGAGAGAGTTATTGTGTTAACACATTTTGCGTACGGCGGACAACGTACGACGTACGACGTGGAACAGACCCACAACAACCATGCTCAAAAAGGCCTCATTCGGGTTCTCTGACCTCAAAAACGTCCATAAAACATGTTTTTGAGGTGTCGTAAATTTTGACCTATTGCAATACTTTCCCTTACACACTAGGTGTGTGCGGAAAAGTAAAAGAGAGAATATCGAAATATTATCAATAAAAAAATTTCGAGATAACGAATGAGTAATGAAATCTAAATTTAAAACACAAAATTTCTGATATCTATATAATTGTTGTGTTTCTATGAAATATATTTAGTTTAATCATGATTCAAAAGAATAAAATCCATTTGAATGTGCATTTAAATATAATTTTGTTTCTAAACAAAAGAATGAATTAAAATTAGTTTGATTCAGTTGTTTCTTTCGTTTTTCTTTTTCTTTTTTTTTATAGAGCTGGCCAGACGATGGGCTCAATCCAATCTAAATAATATGCGATGCGAGTGTAAATGCCGGGCAATATAGTTCCACATCCTACGCTAGAAGAAACTATGCCCACAACTGTTGCCCCGAATGTTTCACTGATGTACTGAAGTGGACCTCCACTATCACCCCGGCAACTATCATTCCTTCCCTGTGGGTCAGAGGCACAGTACTGTCCGTGGCTAATTCCATCTCGAAAAGCTGCTTGATTTGGTTCTTCATTCCATTTCAACATCGTTTGGTTACATTCGAACAGTGGCGTTGTTTTCAATTGAGCTTTGAGCAGAATGTCTGATCTATTGAGACCTGAGGCTACATGTTTTCAAAGTTATACTGTGTTAAAAGAATTTGGATAGACACTATCACTAGCTTACCATCGGCTGTTGATCCCCAACCAGTCACAATCAGCGGAATATCAATGTCCATATCATTTGAATCGAGTTCCAGGCATGCGGGCATAATATAGTCCGTGAACAAAATTGGTTTTGCAACTCGAATTAAGGCGATGTCATTTTTCTTAGTGAGTCCCGAATAGTTCGAATGTCTTATAATATCCTGTTGAATAATAATTTTTTTAAATGATATGGGTGATATTATTAGTAGAATTAAATGATTTCGATTCTTTTACCGCGATCCGGTAATTTACTGGTTCGATATTATTGTTATCGGTCATAGTAATCTGGTTATGAAAGAAAAAAATACAGCGTATATTGTATAAACAAAAAATGGAGATGAAGTATTGAGATACACAGTGTGTCGCAAAGAAACGTAAACTTTAACGAAATATCCCAAATTAGTGGCGCCATCTATTGAGAACGAATTGATATAACAGTTCCGTGTTCAATTTTCGGCCTTTGACCCATGAAAAAACACAGTTAGTTAGGACGCAATAAGTGCTTGGCTGTAAGTGGTCCGATCCTCATAAAACTTTGACAATATGTCAATTAGGGATGGACCTTTCCAATGCGTATCCCCTCAATAGATGGCGCCACTAATATGAGATATTTCCTTAAAGTTTACGTTTCTTTGCGACACACTGTGTATTTTAAACCAATTGAAACAACTCATCCAGTTGAGGTGACCTGATATTTATATGAGAATGAACGTAAGTGGCTGTTCAGTGTTCACACATTCAACGCCACCTCCCTTTCATTCTCATGTAAAACGCAAATAACCTCAAACAGATGACATTTACACTCACTTTTCCTAATCGAATGAATATCGGTTGTCGAGATTCAACAACACAATGAGCAGCTGTTACTATGAAATAATTCGAAATGATTGTACCTCCACAGTCAAAGGTGATTTGGTAATTATTATTTAAATAACCTAAAGCCGCCTGTGAAATGATTTAAAATGGATAACATTTTATGAGAATAAATGTTGGGGAAGCTAAGATGACATACCATCCATGGAAATTCTTGTGAATCAGCTTCCCCACCACCCAAAATTCGACTTTTTAGGGAAGTAATATTCAGACCATGCAAACTGTGATTTTTTAAATAATTTGCGCATGCTAAATTCACAATATTAAGTTTTTTATCAGTTTACAATCAAAATAAAAGCATCGAAAAAGTATAAATCATTACCTTTTTCTGCTGGACGTTTTTTGAGAAGTTTAATAATTTTCTCATTTCCTATTGGTCAAATAAAGTGGGTAAATCAACAAAAATATGAGAAATATAATTGTAATCAATACCTTTTCTTATAGCAAGATCAATGACTGTGTCGTTGTTTTGGTTTTTTAAATTCGCATCGGCTTCATGTTTCAATAGAAGTTCGACCATCTTCAATAAACCTGAAATGCAATTTATCATTTTATATAATAATGACGAAATTAATTGACTTATATAATATATGATAAATACCATTATGAGTGGCCACGTGTAGTGGTGACCATCCATTTTGATCTTGTTTATTAACATCGGCTCCGTTTTGGATAAACAGTGCCACGATATCGTCAAAGCCTATATTTCGAATGAGAATAACTAATTTTCGTTTGATCTATGAAAAACTGTAAATTTCATTGAAGTCGACCTGCTGTTGTGGCGCTGTATAATGGTGTTTCTCCGCGGTTGTTTGGAAGATTAACATTCGCACCGTGTTCCAATAACATTTGAACCAGTCTATCGCGCCCTGAGAGAAACATCATTTTAATAAAATATCCATTGACAGTGTGACAAATAAATATTCGATTGTAATACCGAAGCTTGCAGCCGTAAACAATGCAGTTACTCCATCTTTGTCTTGATTATTTGCATTTGCCCCATTTTTGAGTAACAATTCAGCGATTCGCTCATAATCTAAAGAAATGATTTTGTTACACATTTTAAGGTATATTCTAAGAGAATCCAACGACATCAAAATTACCTTTTTGAGTGGCGATATTTATTGGTGCACGTCTGTTATCATCTTTGATATTTGTGTTGGCGCCATTTTTGATCAATATTTCAACAACTCGCTTGTGACCTTATTTCAATGAAATGCTCATATATATTTATATCAAAAATATTTTAAATATTTTGTCACCTTCTGAAGTTGCCGTGTGAATCGGAGCTTCACCGTAGTAATCTTTCAGATTTATATCGGCACCATTATTTATCAAGAATTCAACTATAAGATGTCGACCTGAATAAAAAGACATTCAAACATGTCGGTTATTATTTGTATTTTAACGTATGAATTTACCATTTTGAGCTGCAGTAAATAAAGGTGTTCGGCCATTATGGTCTGTGATATTAATATCCGTTCCCTTTTGTAGTAGTTCTTCGATTGTTCCCAGATTACCTGAGGGTAAAAAAAATCGGTTCCAAAATCTTTCCACAAATAGATTGGAATTTGAAAATTGGTCTACTCGGCCACGGAATTGGTATCAGAAATGCTGGTTTCAACACTCGTGGTTCACCTCGACAGAGTTTTTTTATTTGATACAATATAAAATTGCACACATTTCTATTACTCACCACTCTCAACAGCGCTATGAAATGCTTGCCATGGTTCTCTACAGAAAATGTTTTTAAAAGTTAGTCGTTTAGGGTTTGAGTAAATAAAAACGTGGACTTGTTGATCACGTCGCTGATACTCACTGGCTTTCGGTTTGATTGGAACGATTATATGGAACGAGCGAGAAAAGTTCTGAGATTTATTTGATTACAAGCATAGGTTCTCATCAGATTGTATAGGTTGTATTTTATCTTTCTGTTAGAATTTGTTTTTTTTTTTTTCTAAAAAAAATGTTATGTTATCTGGTTTACCTTTTATAGTAATTGTCGTACGTTCTTCCTTCATATTTCCTTCATATTCAGCTTTACAAACATAAACACCGCTATCTGCACATTGAACATTTGTGATTATAAGAACACCATTCTTTTGGTATGATCGATCCGGGAGAGATCCATTTGCCTTACGCCAGGCCACTGTGATTGGAGTCTAATGCGATAGAACAAAATGTAAATAATAATTCATAATTTCCAATACATCATCTTCAATAGAATATTCTTACGTGTATAACATTCTTATATGCGCTACATGGTAGTCTTATCGTTTCTCCGATATTAAATTCAGGCAAAGAGATCAGAACAGAAACTAAAATGTCATATTTTTAAATCAAATTAAAATGTATCAATAAGTACCCGTACATTAGAAATAGATATATTTTCAACATCCCAGGTCGGTTTTATCCATGGTTTTATCATTGTTTTTAACGTTAGCTCTCTCTTTAGCAAATTTTAATTTGATTTTTATGCGAGTGTGGTTTATGATTATCATGGATTTTTAATTTTTTTTTTTTAGGTTTTTCGAAATTGTATTTTGATATTTTGTGATTTTATATATATATTTTTTTTGGTTTAGCTGTGGCTTGTTACCACTATTGTTATTCGTTTCATGGTTTCATTAATATATCCACTTAAGTGATGATTTGAATGTTCGACTATGTAAAACACGTTTCATTCGATTTGCCATGTGGTTTTCATGAAATTATAACAAATCGTATTAGAAATAGTTCATTTTTACGGTTTTTTAAAATCTAGTTTACTATTTTTTTGTTGGTTCCGAAAAACCCATGTTTAGATTTTTTTTCTATTCATCAGCAGTAAAGGGTTAAAAGATGCCGGATTAATTTAAAACTATGATACTTACTAAAGTTCTTCATTTCCAATAGAAGATTAGCTGCTTCTGTTTTACCTGAAAGAGTGTGTGATTATAAATATTGAGATGATTTCAAATTTAAAAATGTGTAGCCAAATTACTTTCTCGAACAGCTAAATCATGTGAAGTTTCATTTGCTTTATTTCTATCGAATATATTTGCACCATTTTCTAATAACACTTTAATCGTTTCAATGTGACCTGAAAAGATTTTCCAACAAAAAGAATTTCAGTGCTGTGGCATTGCTTGATGTATCAACGTCGAAAGTTAGAAAGAATCTAAAAAGTTCAACGAAACGTTATTTGTATGTGATTTTCAATTATTTTGAACTGTCAGGCTGACTCAAACTGATCTTCCCTTATTAAACATAACATAAACTCGGGTGTCTTACATTTGTAATTAATAAATTGAAAAAAATGTTCAGTTACCATTGTGAGCAGCCCAAAGAAGTGGCGTATCGTTTTCAACATCTCTAAAATTCACATTAGCACCATTTTTGATTAGAGTTTTGACTCTATCTGTATAACCTAGAAAAAATTAAAAGTAAGACAGACTTTATACTGAGCTGACTATTCATTTGAAATGAGATGAAATAGCATGCTATTTGGGACATTTTGATTTTACGACGAGAACAATTTGTATCTTCAACGTAGATATAGAGTTATTTTTTGGTATTTTAGAAATCCTATTTAGATCTAGGGGGTAGACACGTGGAATAGGATTAGACTTTTTAGTGTAAAAATTCGAGAAATTAAAGTGGAATAGAGAATTCAGTAGCTGGATTCACATGGATTCACTAATCCCGTGTATGGAATAGCGAAAATGGGTTAATTCAAAGTTTTTGTAATCGATAGTACAGAATTTGATAAAAGCATTGAACTTGTTTTGAGATAGTAATTTGTTCTTTTTTGAAATATTTTTTAGTTCAAAAGTCGATTACAAATTTAAAAAACAATAGATACTCTTTCTCAAAATTTTATTGATGAAAAAAATAATTTTAATTATCAATAACAAAATGTCATACTCCAGTATCGATAAATAAGTTTTCAACAAAGTGAATAGCGGCGAAATGTGACATCACATTTGACAATGAAATGACGGATTGGTGGAATAGTAGGATTAGTGTTTTTATATTGGAATCATGGTTTAATCGTTTGTGTCTCCCCCCTAGATTTAGATATAGAGTTCTTTTTTGGCATTTGCCTATTTTTTTACTTTTACTTTTCATGTGCATATTATTCAGACATTTATATTATAGATATTTTGATGAGAGTGTCAAATTACCATTTTTAGCAGCATTAATTAGCTGTTGGTCTAAATTTGAAATTGCGTGCACTTCGAAACACAATATAAATAAAATAAACAAATATATTGCTTTCATTGTCACAATAAAACACACAATACTATTAATTATTTTATACAGATTTTCAAATAAAGTTGAAAAAACTTTTATTGAGGAGTAAATACTGAATTGTGCAAATTGTTCGAATTTCTGTAATAGTAAAAATACTTTCGTTCGCACTGGAATATGCGAGTCTTCTGATTTTCAACTTTACACTAGACGTGATTTGTCATAAAATATGGCTTTCATATTGATAAAAAATAACAACTGTATATGCATGTTGCGATGTATATGCTTTTAAAATATGAAACAATCTTTCGATTAGCTGTAAACAAGTGAGATTATGTTATCACATTTCAGTCATCATTTCACATCCTGACAATATTTTGAGATTTCACATCCTGACGAGTTATCTGCCAAGAATATCTTATTTGCATGGGCGGAATAATCACCAAATTTCAAGATCACAGATAAAATATCGAAAGTTGATAGCCAATCGACGTGAACAACAAAATAACGAGATATTCTTTAATCAGTGAATGAAGTCATAACAATCGATGGTTTTTCAAATTGGTCCAGCAATCATGGAGTCATGAATTATAATCGTAACGCAAAGTTTGTCCTTGATAACGTTTATTTTTTTCAAGTGAGAAATAAATATTATTGCGATTTTTTGGTAAACAATTCTATTTTTAGAGTTTTCGAATTTCAGTGAGTGGAATTAATGAGAAAAAACACAATCAAATAAAAAATTACGGACCGTTTCGCATCCTAGTTAGTGTCGATGGTAAATTTATACGTATTAATGGTATTAATTTAAAAACAAACGCCTTCAAATAAGTACGCAGATGGATTTGAATTACTTCTCGTTGTTCTTGAAACATCTCTAATATTGAGCGGGAGTCAATTATAAACATGTTGTAACAGAAATGTATAAACAACACAAAATGTTGAAGCGCAGCTTAAATTGTCGGACCATCACATGAATTTGTATGAAAATATTGACGCAACTTAATTATATTCGTACAAAATTTATGTGAATAAATATTTTCGCAATCTAATAAACAAAACCGCCCAGTGCAGTGCGCTTTACATTAAAATGCATAAAACTCTCTATCACACACGCAATCACATGAATTATCGTTAATATGTTCTCAGCGAGTGATGCATTCAATAAAATACCGCAGTAGGTGATCAGAACCATCATATTTTATGATGCATAATTTTTGAAAAAAACTATTAGATAAATCTCTAACCATATCAATATGTTGTAATAATTTTGAACTTATTAACTGAGTTTATCTACGTACATCACTATTCGAAATGGTATCAGCGTAAAATTTAACGGAATAAAATTCAGAACGCTGTCTACCTATACAGTTTAATCGGACATCACTATATTGATCATTGAAAATATCGGAACAAAGTAACAGATAAATCAATAAATGAAATGCATACGATATGTGGAAGTGCATAGACAGTAAAGTATCGGAATTAATTATGGACAGGGAACAATGTATAGGCTACACACTATTAATCAATCAATCAATGTTGCTTTGCATAAAATATAATTCAAAGCGGCGTCATGCAGTATAGACGAGAACACAGCCGACAAAATAGACAAAAACTATATAAATTTATGTGACGCACATTTTCTATTTGTCGCGTAACGAACGAACATGTTTAAATCGTGCTTATCTTGTATGCATTCAACTAGCCATTCCATAAATTCTCTCCATATTTGTGATTAACAAATGGCACAGAGACAATTGCACAAAAGATATGAGCATTGTTGCACGATAAACACAACACATTGGGATAAAAAAAAGTTTATTTTTAACGCAATCGTAAATGTAATATACCAATTATTTTAAAGTCATTTCTTTGCTTTTACGCCGATTTAGCTACGGCTGTTGAAGGTTTTTGTTGAACCCGTGGACTTTTCCCTAATATCGTTTTTTTTTATATATAAAAATATGTTTTTATGTGTTCAACAATCAGTTGGACTAAATGTGGTATTATGATTATTTGATCTCAAATTAAGGCATTGTGAATACATTACGCTTCGCTTTAAATTTAGTTTGACTTCGGGGTTTTGTCATGTTTGTTTGAATCATGATTGATCAACATTTTTTCCCCATCATCAATTGCATAGTTGAAAAGATCAAAATATCTAGTTGAAAGTATTATATTAGAGAGATATCTCTAGAGAAAAGGGAAAAAAATGAGAGAAGCACACGTATTTCTCGTCATGAGATGAGTTGTAAAAAGGGAATGTAATTCAAAAATTCAGAATGGAACGTGTTTCTACAGTATTCTTGCTCACACTTTGAGTTTATGTCAGACTTTGTGCTGTGCTCGTTTGAATTTTCTACAAATATTTTCAGGTGCATGTCGCTGCAAGTGCAAAAAAAGCGCATTGCTTAATATTTTGCATATTTGTCTGGATCTTCGATATTTCTGCATCAAAGCAACAATGATTGTACACAAATCTTCGTCGTCATCCTCGTCAGGATCCTCCAAAGTTATAAAGTATTGTGGATTTTGTGCAAATGTGCTCAAATTATTCCGACAACCACCTGCGGACACTCCTTTAATCCCTTCGAACAATGACAACATCCATTTTTTCGACCATCATCAATTTTATCTTCACTCAACAAGTCGGGCCTGAATTTCAACTCTGTCGAAGTTCAATCCAATTTCTTGCTTCACGTTATCTGGTATGAAGCTACATCACCCCATGGATTTCGAAGCCGCACCATTTGAATTTGGCCAGTTTTACTTGGTGATACAATGTCCATGAGTGCAATCTTAGTAATTGAATAAGCATGACTAGAAATTTCGTATATATAAGAAAATATCAAATTTGAAATTTCATTTCGAATTTCGATTCAAACCCCCTTATGAGTCCTGATGTTTTGGATTCTAATACACTTGGATCAATACTACATGCCATCATTGAATCACGTTCATGACCTTTAAGTAAAATATTGAAGAAGAGATTTGAGTGTGCCTCTTCCAGTTTATATATTTCAGTTACATCGCCAGTAAAATCTTCCATAGCTTCACACGTAGAACCACCTATCAATGCTTTATAAGATCCGTTCAATTTGGCGTAGGCTTTTTAGATTCAAATGAAAAAATTATTTTTTTTTTTTTTTTTCAAAATATAAGTTTTCACTGAAAGTCTGTAAATCGAAGATTATCAATTACCTTTTTCGAGCAGTACACTTCAAAATTCATTATCTTGTTCAGAACGCATATACAAAATCATCAACACAAACATCAATCCATTTACCAAATTGCCAAAATTGAAAATGACAGATACCCGCATAGTTTTCGTCAAAGCTTTGATCATACGGAACAACACGAACAAACATTTCGGAGTTTTATGTCAACACTGCAGCTGCATTCAACGTTTTACCTCAAATGTAGAGTTCTAATTTGTTATTTTGGTATTCCATCCAGTCTACATTTTCAAACACACGGTGAAAAATTTGCCACCCAAATCGTGCTTGGTAAATCTTTGTTTCATGCTGTCCCGCTCACCCTTGAATGTTAACAATCGACATTCTATTCACACACGCAACTCACACTTATATTTTGCTGCGTAATAAAAATCGTCAATAAAAAACTCAAAGCGATCACCAAAATACATTCACTCTCAATCATTTTTATACTCTTTAAATTTTACACACAACATTCGCAGCAACATTGTGTGATTATGTGTGTTTAAACGAAAAAACATCTATGATCTGTTTTTGGGAATTCACTTTTTTAGCGAACGTATTTCAAAGTACACTGTATTGCCACTATTATTCCCATGGACACAAATATGCAATCAAAATTGCAAAGTTTCGACAGCGACATGCACCTAATATTTTCTCACATTTCCCATAGCCGACATTAGTAAGTAAGCTCACGAAAACTATTGAATGAAATCATCACCATATAGCCATACTAAAGAGAGGTGGAAAAAGAGACGAGATATTGAAGATGTGAACATATATTATGCTTATGGAGTGAATGGCATCTCTTTTAATAATTTTTGGATTTCGCATGTGATGCGTATGTGCTTGCCATGCTGATTTCATGCTGACATCTTTTCGGCACAAACGAATTGCGTTCGAATGATATCGAGTGGTTTTTAATACGTTCTAATGAGGGTTACATTTCGAAGTGATGTCACATATATGGCATCAATGGGCATCAAAGTACATTGATGCCACATCAGAGATATGAAGTGTTTTCCATTGGTCTGATATCGTTTTCAAAGTAATCGGGACCATTGGCAACGACTACAACAAACGACAATCAATTGAAATGGATCTATTTTTACCCGGAACATGCAGTACCCATGTGAAATTCATTATTTACCTTTGGCTCTTGTCACATAAGAGGGTGATTCATTCACTCGATCGGTCCATTTTCCAAGCAATTAAAATTGGTTTTTCTGACAAATGCACATATAAATCACATATCGAACGAAAGAGCTTATTGATATTTAATATGCTTCGTGAACTAACCGAGCGAAGATGATTTTTGAATAGCATGGAAAGTGTACAACGTAAAACTCGAGTTTGAGATGGTCATTCATCATGTTTTTGGGTGAAATTGTAATGTGCTGTGGCAAGAGTGTTTGTTGAGATAAAAACACTTTGGTGACTGTAAACGACACTGAAACCAATAATAAATATTGAGTGCAAATTTTAAGTTTTTGACCTAGCAAACATTCATTCATAGAAAAACAGGTATTTATTGAGGTTCGATCGTTCAATAATTTTTACATTTTTATCAAATGCATACAAAATAAAAACTTTAAATTAAAGGTAGCGAAATGAAAAAAATATAGAAAACAAAAATTACATCGTTGCGAATAGAAGAAAAGATCGACAAATAATATAGTTGAATTGCAGAACTCGATTTCGGTTGGTGGTCCGCAGCAATATAATTATACAATAAACTTTAATTAAGCTCATTTGCTGCATAAACACCGAGCAACGCTCAAATTCATAAACTTTACTCGAAACAAACTTCAGAGCTTCTCGAGATACACCAGCCAACGGCAGCTGGTCCAAATAATCCCTGGAAATGAAAAATGAAGCGCAAAACGAAAGTGGGGAGAGAGCGAGCGAGAAAGAGAGAAGAAAATCATGGTAAAAAGTAAATCTATAATGGGAATAACAACAGTGTCTACCGGAAAAGTTTGTAATTTTTGTTAACGCGCTTGCTGCGTTATCGTATTTTGTATACTTTGAACAGAAAAATGAAGTAAGAAAAAGAGGAAAAAGAAAGAAAACTTCGACCGACTTCTTTCTTGTTCCATATTCGGTATTTATATATTCAGTATTTCGGTGCGGAGGGAAAACACCTTTTAATAATCGCTTTTCAGCTTAACGCAAAGAATTTTTGGAATCGCTATATCTGGCTGCGGATCTATAAACTTCATTTTACTTAATTCAAGCGCTCTCCAACCAATATCAAGTGACCTAAGCTATTCGATGTGAATATTAGTAATGGAGCAGCGATTGCATTCGCCCGAAGCAGTGCCAACACAGCATCGCACCATTGAACTAAAAATGATTTGGCCGGACGGTGATTGTAGTAGCACAAAGCAATATAGTGTGTAAGACAGAGTTTACAATGTAACATGCACAGTGTATTAGAGAAAATGAACAGATCTCATTATAAATACATCGCGTTTGCAAGTAGCCAAGCAATGGTACACTAAAAAGTGCTCAAATCAGCTCGACAAAGTTTTTGAGTATTCTTCCGCGTGAAAATTTATTTATGAAAAAAAAAACTAGACTCAAAGTATTTAATGCAATCGTCTCATACTCATACTCAGCATTTCGCTATTTCGTCGTCGTTTATCGTTTTTCGAAATGTGAACGAAGGGAAGAAGAGATTGTTGGATGCCTATTTTTTGCAAAATTAAGAGAAAATTGTATGTACTTCATGGAAAAATACTTGAGTCACATGATTTCTTGCATAAAAATTGAATTTATTGCCGGCAACACGACGCGCAAATATGCAAGAAAACATGACGAAGTATTACGCTGCACACCATCGAACACAACAGTGCAATGCACAAATGAAAGCGATAAACTACACAAACTAAACACCATAATGTATAAACTATGTTACTGTCGCGTTTACAGATACTGAATGAACGGACGACGATATAAAAGAAAAAAAAAACAATGCACACAAGAGAAGGAAGAGGATGAAAAACCAAACACATAAAGACTTGTGGAAGGAAAAAGCCAAGCTGAGCAACGGCAAACACTCGTAATGTGCTGCAGAAAAGTTTATTAACTCTGCATTCTATAAATATTTTTAGAACTGTTAAAAAGTGTGCTCAACATAAGTGATCACATGCACAGCGATGGTCTATCCCTCTTCACTGCGTTTCTCTCACTCTTACTCGCATTTCCGAAATTGTTTTTTTTTTATTCTTTGGCAGCGGTGGCGAAAGTATGATGCAAACTGAAGAAGAAGAAAAAAATACTAATATCATCGTATCGACTTAACATTTTCGATGAATTTCCGCACTTTTTGCTGTATTTTGTGCTTTACACTTCTTTGCATCATTTCATTGCAATGGCCATATTGAATAACTCTTCTTCACGCAAAACAGGTTGGGAAAAAACAAATATCGCTAGATTCCATTCCCCAGACAATTTGCAATGCAGTTTGTTTGGCGTTGGCCAGTGTGTGTATGTGATGATGAAAAACGTTGGGAATGCACGCGGACCAAGAAAACCAACACACTCTAGAAAAACCGCGAGCCCGTTTATGCTAAATACACAATTTACAAAGTATTATTCGAAAAAAAAAGATGAAGTCACATAAGTGAATAGTTATTTGCTACTTCTATTCATTTGAATTTTTTATGGATTTTCAATGATTTTTTTATTTCATACTTTTGATGGCAAAAAACACTTTCTTGCTCAATTTATGGTGGTTGTTCAATGCTTGACGTAAATAGTTCATTTTTCATTCATTCACTGAAGTTTATGTTGCCGTTGGCTGAAATATATACATATATTTGCGATTGAAACGTGAAAAGTTGCCGCTTTTTTGCCCTTAAATTTTCATTACAACAACTTAGCATTAGATTTCATGGATTTCGTATTTTGAAACAGAACGAATTATCACTATTGTTTTATTCATACACTTGACGGCTGCCAATTAAACCAAAGACGTGACACGAATTTCAGCAAGTTTTAAAAATTCAAATACTTGAAAATAGCTGGGCAAAAAAATCAATGGCTAGCTCATGTAACAACCATTCAGAAACTTTTCATGATGTTGCCTAATCAAAGGCGCTTTATAATTTACAATGCGCTTCATTTCATTGCTGATGTGAATGCATTTCTGATCTGATTTTTTCATCAGATATTTATATCTCACCTTGTTTTCGCTCTATCAATTAGTTCAATTGAAATGTACAATGTACATAAAATTTGTATATGTGCAATGAAAATGAGTAATTGTTATTCTATTTAGTGATACTTTGCTTAATCAGAATTTTATGGTACAAAAATCGTTTTTAAGACGTCAGTTCGAAATGCGGATGGAAAAAGACAAAATCGAAGAAAATATGCAATGTATTTTTTTATTATATATAGTAGATTGCATCCTGTTTTAAATGTTGGCACTAAAATGAAAATTCTTTATCATGAACGTTTAGCGCAACCTTAATGTCAATTTCTTTTATGTGATACTCCTTCAAAATGTAGCATTTAAAGTGTCTGCTGAAGATACACATGCACTTACACACAAAAAAACGCAGCAAAAGAATAAAAATGTGGAGTTTCACATCTGGTTATTGTGCGCACTGCTGTTAATGAAGACTGCATACGTGCAAAGTTCCATTCAGACACATGGAAAATGAATGAATTTGCATCTTCCACTCTATACCCTATCTTCAGTATTTATGAAATCTAATTAACGTTTTTTTTTTTTTCGTGTGTATGCGCGCTCGTTCATTCTTGCATCTTCTTGGTACTTGTTTTACACATTCTTTTCTGGGTTCGGTGTGTGTGTCTCGTGTCAGTGAGAGATAGCGACAGAACGATTTCGCTAAACAGTGAAAAATCAGCGAATGCAGCATCTTTATCGGATGCAGTACAGATACATTCAATCTGTGGAAGAAAGAATTCGGTAGAAAAAGAACTGGAGAAAAAGAAGACGAATAAAAAATGAGAACGCAGAAGAAGAAAAAAAAATCGCACATGGGAGACACTCGTCGTTCACAGAGACATCGAAACGACATTATGATAAACTTGCATATATACACACACACGCTTTCATTCTATCTCGGATACAAAGCGGAAAGGAATTTACTTTAATTAATGCAATTTAACCAATTTCA